TAAAAAAATACCTTATAATTCTTCAACATCTAGGTAGAATTCAAACATAATCTTTTTTGTCCAAGATTCACCATAAAATTCCTTTATGAGTAAAAATAACATTAGTTGCAAATGATAATTATTGATGACTCACTAACATTTAGGCAGATTACTGAAAATCATTTCCCTCAAAATGTTATTTTAATTTAACTTTTTTAAATCAATTTTTCAAAGAATTTTTTATGTAAAGAATGTAAGATGCTATAATTACCTATAAGCAGCGATAATTAAAATACATGCATATGCATAATGACTAAAAGCAATGATCTAAATGAATATATGTAAATGTTTATCATAAGTGATGATGAGAAGAGATGAGATGCGACTTTGGGTTTGGATCCTTAAATATAAAAAGACTACTTAAACTCTCTAACTTCTAGGTAGAGTTTAGGTGTGATTATTTATATTTAAGATCTCATTTTTATCTTTATTTTCTTATTTAATCTTATTATTGTTTTAATTAAAGAATTATATGAACAATCTTAATGAAATAAAATTTATTAAACACCCCTCTTCGAAGTAGCTTCCAAGAACATATTACTTCATGAGAAGTTTTCATACAAATCTTTGAAATTTTAGGAATGTTTTGTGGGTTTTGAATAGATTTAGGGTTTCAAGATTTCATTTTAAAGTTTAAGGTTTCATTTTAGGATTTCACTTTTAGGGTTGTTTTAAGAAAAATTATAAACCTTTCTAAAAATCTCTAACCTCTAGGTAAATTTTCGAAGCAAGTTTGCTTTTTAAGATTTTTCTAAAAAATTAATATTATTCCTTTCTCCTTTTTTATTAAAATTTATTATTATTTTTATTATTTATTTACTATTATTATTTGATAATTCCTCAACATCTAGGCAGAATTAAATTTTTAAAACTTGATATTGAATCCCTTTACCATTTAAGCAGAGATTTCAAAATCTTTTTTTTATAACTTTGTTTGTTAATTTTTTTAAGAAATCTTAAAAATATAAATAACAATGAAAATGCATAGTCAAAGATAGTATAAACATGTCAATTAGTAACATAACACATGTAATGTAATTGAATAACAATAATCAAACACAAGCTAAAATAATCATATATTGGTAACAACAATAATAGTAAATAATAATATCAACTATAACGCAGAAACCTATTCAAGCATTCATATGATCTAAGCTTTTTATTATTTGGATTATTATTTATTATGCTTTTATTTAGTTCCTAAGCAAGCCATTACAAAATCTAAAAATGATGAAATAAAGGAACCAAAAACAAATCATATAGTACCCCACCTCTTTTTGGCAAAGCTTTGGTTTCCTTTCCCCATGATGTCTTTTTATATTATTCTAAACCAAGAAACGTGAATGGTAGAGTACCCCTACCAATAAGGCAATCCTCCCCATTTTAAGATGCTAACTCATGCTTAACCTTTCTATAATTACACAGGTTTACCATTTTTATAATCTAAAACCCCTCTTAAGCATGGTATATCCTAGAAAAATATGAACAACCAAGCTTCCCTACAAGCGATGAAGATGTAGGAAAAAAAAAAACAAAAACCATGCAAATGTTGAAAAATTACTCTTGCAAATGTATCATACGCAACAAAAATTGACAAACCAAAAAGGTTGTAGCCATGGTCTGCAAGTGAACCATATGCATAAACAAGAATGCAAAACAAGAAAACAATAACTCTACATATTTATATAGACCACATACTAAAAATGAGATAACAAATGTAATCAATAGATGGTTGTTGATAAAAATGAGTAGTGCATGAAGATTCAAACTATAACCTAACTTGATTCTCTTATTTTGTTTTTCATACAGCCGATTTCAAAGTATGGGAAATAAGGCTTAGTGTTTTGTTATTTATTGTCTTATCTCGTTTCTTTTCTGTTATTGCTTACTTCTTTCCTTTCAGCTACTGCCTTCTCACGAGTTTTTTTTTTTTATTTTTTTTTTGTTTCTACCACTTCTTTTTTAGTTTGTTATTTCTTTGTCTTTTCATTCTTATTCCTTTTTTTTTCTACTACAGTTTTTTCACTTACTGCTAGTTTTTTCTTTTTTTTTTTACTCCATTTCTATTCCTCATGATCACCTCTTTTTTTTTTTTGTTTTTCCTTTTCACTCTTGCTACTGGTTTTTCCTTCTCTTCTACTACTCACAAATGCTTTTTCCCCATTTCTTGGTTCCTTTTCTTATTGAATGCTTCATTCTCCTTTCTTTTTTCTGGTCCCTATGAATGCATGCCTCTTTTTTTTAGTTCACATTTTTATAGTTTTTTCCTCATTTTTTCCATGCTTTCATGCAGTTTTCTAATTTTTTTTTTCACGTGTTCATGCATACAAGTTTTAAGCCTAATGGACTCATTTCCTAGCCATATCTTAGGCTTTAAAAAAGAAAGACATAAGACTTTCGGGCCTTGAGTTTTATTTTGGCTTAGCTTTGTGGCAAAGTTTAGGCTCTTTTTTTTTTTTAGCTCTTTTTACTTGTTTTATTTGAATTTTCATTTGGGCTCTCAAGATGTTATTTTTTGGGGCTAAGTTTTCCTTTTTTATATTACTTTTTAATTTATTTTAAAATTTTTAATATTTAACGATCAACAATGGATCATTAATAGGTTTTAAGGATGAGTATTTTATCGGACCTTTTTATTGGACCATTTTGGGTATTTATTCAAATCTATGTAACAAGCCTCACTATAGGATCCATGTTAGGTCTCATATCAGAGCATTTAAAAATGAGCCATATAATAGGCTCAAAAATTTATGGTCAAGACCCAATTACAAAAACAAGTTCAAAATAAAAAGATAAGATATCTCGGACAAAATTAGGTATCTATACCAAAATAATCTTATCACTTGTGAGTTGAAATCACCTTTTTTTTTTTTGTTAACAGTTATTAATATTTAGTAATTTTAGATCATTGTGTTTAGTATTACTAAAAATCAAATACTATTTTGTTTAAAAGTATAAAAATAATCATGCATATTGTAATAGTTACACAAGTTACTGATTTAATGTTATTTAAAGATAATAATTTCTAAAATATTAGTAATATTTTATTTATTTGATAATAAAATGTAATTAAATTATTAAATTAATAAGTATATTTATTAATAGATAAATTAGTTTTTATAGTATAAATTATGCAAAAAATATGTAAATTAGAAAATAAAATTAATCTATTAAATCATAATAAACGAAAAAAGGACTACATTATATTATAATATTTATAAAAAAAAACACAAATTATTTTTGAACTTATTATAATAAATATTAGTTTTAAAGTATAAAAATGTATAATTTAAAATAATTAAAATTTTAAAAGTAAGCAAGTTTTTAATCACATATTAAATGGGTAATATTAATTATTTTTAATTTTACGTATCACTTTACCTCGATAATAAAAGTTTATCACATTTTTAGATGAGAATTAGATCACCTTCTAATATAGTGATTTAATCACTCTAGATGATATAAGATAACCATCATGTAGGACAACCGAGTGCTAACTATCACGTAGGATCACCGAGTGCTTACAAAATATAGTAATCTAATTACCATATGTAGATTATTTTAATTTTTGAAGTGATTACCACATATTAAACACTATTTAAAGATATATTTATCCTAAATCAAATAACATTTTATGATCTTTAAATATTGAAATATTTTTCTCAATTAATTTTGGTTCAATATTATTATTTTTTGTTAAATAATAAAATATAAAAATTTTAAAATTAATAAGATATGACATTTTAGACAACTATCAAAAAATATTCTTATATTCGAAAATAAATTTTTATATTTTTTAATATTTAAATTATGACATAATAATTTTATATTTTATAAATATTTGGCATGAAATGAATATGATAAAAATAACAAATTATCAAATTAATCAATATTCTAATATGGCCCCAAAATTTCACCATGATCATGTTTATGTAGACTCAATTTTCCTTTTTTTTTTTTATGTGTATCTACTATATATCTAACTTCGGATATGTAATTAGTAAAATAATGATTCATTGAATCATTAGACAAAATAAAAAATGCAAGTTTCAATTTTGCTAAACTTGTTCATATAAATAACAATGCAGAAATCTTCAGTTTTTTGGTTTAATAATTAAAAAAAATTAAAATATAAAATAAGAGTTGGAATTCTATCATCTTATTCCTTATCCTATCCACTAGACAAAAGTAACAAAGCAGATCAACATCGGAACTATTGATTTCTACCGTTTTGACGGATACGTATACTGGAGTCGATCGTGCCAATCTGATGTGAAAAAACCGAGCGTCCGGGTCTTGGTCTTGGATGCCTGATGCAAATGGCTCCTTAGTGACCCTTGTCATTTTCTTTCTTGTAACGTTGCGTCGATTTTGTCCTACATAACATTCTCGATGTCTGCTATCTACAGAAAATTGTGTAATTTAATTATCAATTCCCAAAGATTTACTTTTACAATTTCAACGTCATAGCATCTCTCATCTCTCGCATAAGAGAAGCCATTGCGATGTTAGACATGTCGGAACTCTTGTGGTATTTGTGTTTTATATTTTGATGCTTATGATAATATAGAATATGTACTAAATTTTTATCATATTTATTATTAATTTTTTAATTATCTTTTAAAAATCAATTCAATGTTAATCATATATTTTTAATTTTCAATTATACTATATAAAAATATTATTTATCATTCTGTCTTGTCATATACATGTCTTTATTTTTTAAGAATTATGATATTGTTTTACCCCTATCTTGTTATACTCGTTTATGGTGTCCATATCCGTGCTTCATTGTTGACAACTAGAAATTGCATGGAAAGATCAGACTCTGAACTCTTCAATACATTGAAAGATGTTTCAAACAAAAGATAACACGATGCTTCACGACCAATTTAAAGAGAAAAAGGAAATACAAAGGAAATATAAAAACAGAGCAGAGAGGATTAATTAAACTCCTTGGTACATTTCTATAGAGGGGTTATCTAACAACCTGAAGGAGAAAGTTTAAGATGAAGATCAACGCCTATGTCCGCCTCTGTCAATTTACCAGAAAATTCATTCAATTCCGGGGCTGGTGTGGAAAAATGCATTGGCTGCGCTATGTAAATTCGAGGAGGGTACTGACAAGGAGTTGAGGGAAGCAGCAGTTGCCGTGATGGACAACAACCTGGTTGTGACACAAATTTACCAGCATTGTTGCTAGTGGACCCTCTAGGAAACGTTGGCGTCATCGACCTTCCTGCATGGGAGCTTAAAACAGGCGCAGCTGCTAAGTACCGTAGATGGCTGTGAAACTGGGCTCGCCTTGCTCTTTGACGCTCTCTCTTGTGTGCATTTTGATGCCCCCCTAGTGCTTGAGAGTTGGCAAATACTCGGTGGCAAAATGGACACTCAAATTTCCTGCTTTTTCCAAAATCTTCAGCTTTCTCTAAATTTTCTTCTTGCTCAGTTAGTGAAAAACCAAATAGCTTCAGTGATGAAGAGGGTTTCTGGTCGGATTGTTCATCTGGTGTCATATCAGCTGAAGATGACTTGGTCGAGATTGAGCTCTCTGCCATTGTAATCTAGAGAGAAAGGCTATGATTATGTGTGTGATATATTATTGTAAATGCCCTGTATTTATAGCCGGACTGGTTTGATCTTCCACCTTTAGTTCATTCATTTTTCCAGGTATTGGCCTGTTGAGTTGGTTATGTTAGAAAAAATAAATAAGAGAAGAGAAATAATACAAATAAATTTTGGCTTTGAGGTGTGATAAGCATTTTCTTAAAAGCAATTATGCTTTTAAAATGTAATAAAACCTCAAATTCTCTAATCAAAAGTAGTAAAAATAATTATATTGAAAGATTTATTTATAATAAATGAAAAAATATAAGTTTCTTTTTAGATGGTTATGATATTTTATATAATCATGACCTTTATAAATAATAATTTATTTATATTCAAATAATTATAATAATTTGTCATATTATAATTATTTTTATTCAAATATAATTATTTAAAATATAAATAAAATTAATATAAAAATTAATTTTATTCATCAATAATTAAATCTTTCTATCCAATGTGGGATGCACCACATTATAAACTACCAACAATCCTCCGCTAGTTTGGAATGTTAGTACTTAACTTTTACCTTTCACACATATAAATATTATGAATATAAGAAAGTATTTCTCGATTTAAACATTCAATTAGTGTATATATTTTAGAATTCTAATGAAGTTCATGGTATCCGCAAATTAAATCTCAACTCCTAGTGTTAAAATTCAAGATATAACACATATAATACTTATTTATTCTTCTGTCAAAGGTTTATAATTGCTTTTAACACTACTATAGCCATAAGCTTATCCTATTCATAAACATTTACAAGAGAGACAACAACTCTTCTTGTTGAAGTAGCACTACTTCTATATTTATATAGGTAGGGTTTCCATTATGTCTCCATTGCTTTAGACATTTAAAACTTTATTAAGAGTATAAAAACTCATCCTTCCCACACAATAGATCACACTAGTTTCTAAAATTTGAATGGATTTTACTAGTGCTTAATAGATATATAACAATAACTTGTTTTTACCCATTAAACTTCGTAATTAAATGTTACTAATTCAAAGTTGGGTTTCCATTATTAGTGTCTAATAGTAAGGGTTTAAATCCATTCTACTTGTAGTACTACTAACTAAATATCTTGGAATTCAATTTTCTTTTATGGTAATTACCCCCACTTGAGATTAAATCTTTAATATAATCACTTGAAGCTAATATATCCAAACTGTTCATTTTGTATATCATTTATATGCTCCAGACATTATTGCCCATTTTTATCATTTTAAAAAATAGTTGATTTTGATTGTGACCACAACTCTATATTCTTTAATTTCAACCATTCTATTTCCATACTTTTATATATTTTTAATACAATTATACTTCTAGTACAATCAGATAAACTCAATAAATAAACTAAACCATTTTAGTCCTTCTAAGATTTTTAAGGACCTTTTTATGATTTTACTTTAATAAGTGTCTAAACTTGTTAGCTTGTATAATTTGCTCATAAAATTATACTAAAATCTTGCAACAACACTATGGTGGTAATTTTTATTTATCATTGCCACCATGTGCAAGTGTGCATTCTTTTATTAAAGAATGTCTCATTCAATTGTTCAAGGTATCATATATACTTAATCAAGTTTTCATTTAATTTATCTTTTCATTATTTGGTATTTCTTTTTTAAATACGAGGCCTATAAATCTACTCTTAGTGAAAGATAACTAGCAAATAGATTAATATTTCTATAAAAGTTCTAAAACTTTTATATTTTAACTCAACATAAGAGTTTACATCAATAAGCAAATTTCAAATATAATCATGTTTCTATAGTCTCCTTTTAAGACTTTTTATGTCAATTCATAAATACTTATATGAATCTATTTCATCATAAACACTATTAATAATTTTTTATTACCATAAACAAAACCATTTCCATCACCTAAATGGATCAAATAGCATTCCTTTTGCTATTATCAAAGTTTTCATATTTACAAGATCTTTGAATCATTTATGGCTTTCAAAGTAAATATACTTTGAAATTTTCACTATATAGAACCATAGATGATAAATAATTTGTACAATCCATGAATTGACCATATACATAACAAAAAATTACCACAACGTGATCAAAATTGTGGCATCAATTTTGGCTTACAACTATTTCAAGCCAACTATAATAATCCACATCATACCTACAAATCATGTAGATTTGGCTATTGAAGTTATCTCATTTATAATGATAGCTTTTAGTGAAAACCAATTATCTCAAATGTTATCATTAGTTTCCAAGGCATGTACTAATTGCCCAATGGCCAATTCCAAGTTCATAACTATTGAAACCTCTAAACTTGATTTTAAAATTTTTTAAGAACTTTATTTCTCCACCATTGTGCAACCTATATATCTATGTTATTTACCACTTTTCAAATATATAATAAATTCAAACTTTACTCATAGGACCAATAAGCCTATGTATAATAAGAGTCCATAGTATATTTAACTCCAATTTTAAATACTTTCGTAATTATTTTATGACTAATATGTTCATATCTAGATCACCATATCAATGCAAGTCATGAAACATGAATCCAATGAATCATTTTCATAAAATAGTATAAACAATAGTTATAATATGAGTTCTACTCATATTTCATGCAAAAAATCATGATAAAATTTGCATTGGTTAAATCATTGATTGGTTAACTCTAAGGCTTACGGTTTTTACAAATCAATATTATTATCTAAGCCCATATGTTAATATGATGTACAACTAGTCACATCCTTGCCATTGTCATGAAATTATTGAAAACCTTGAAAACTTATTCACTTTTCATTTTAACAGCCTACAAAAGGCCATTTTTTTAGGTACGAGAAGCAAAAATATCTTTATTGTCTTTAACCAATAATGTATTAATTGGATGATGGCATTTTATCTCCATAGTCCATATCTTTCTTATATGTATAAGAAAGAAAATTTCATCTCATTCAATTCATTTTCATAATATGTGGCAAACTATACCAATGTTCTCTATGCCATAACAAAATGGAATTAAACATATGCATGTATTGGTGCCTTTGGAATATTGAATTTGCATGTTCTTTTCTAATTTATAAACATGCCTAATTAGACATTGATGAACATCCTTCAAAATGCTAGTAACTGACAAAGCTTCAATATTTTAATGACATGCCTTTTCTTGAATCAATATCTCATATGCGAAAAGCAGCAATGCTTTTTTGTAACCATTGATTAATTCTTTGACAACTTTTTATGATTTTCACTTTATGATTGTTCACAATAAAATTTTATTTTGTAAAATCACTTCTAGTATAATACACACAGTAGGCAAAATACATGTCACACTGCACATGTTTTTTATAATAACCATTATTTGGTTTATTATCAACCAATTAATCCATGAAACACCATATCTTAATAATAATAATTCACATTTAATTTTAATTGGTTTTCATGAAAATTAAACACTAGTCAAAATTTGAACCAATAATAAATTTAAAATATATATATCAACGTTTGATTTACAAACAACCAACAGAGATAGAAGCATAGAAATAGCTTAATTCAACTTATTATCTCAAATTTGGTGCCATGATTTAATAATAAAGCTAATCTTGTAGCCAAATTTTATTTTTTATATATATTCTCTACTTATATCTAATTTCTCATGGTAAATTCCTTTACCCATTTTTTATTGTTTTCATAAAAACCATGGGACAATTTGTCTGTCATATATATAACCAAGATATGACAACTAAACAATCGGTCATTCCATTAGAACCCAATTTAATCTATTACTTGATAACAAGTGATAATTCTTTTGGTCATAAATCAATTCATGTTTTTCTCTTTTATGTTTTCAGGCTATTTTCCATCACAGTCTTTAAAAGTATCGATTTTTCAAATAAATATAATACAATTAATTAAACCCAATTGTGGAGTCAATTTTAATATATGCATAAACTTATGCGATGTAATTAATATTTTACATATTGTGTTTAGACTTTACACACTAATGAAATAAATTGTTAATGTGTCTATCTCATTATCAATCTTTTTACCAACAATTATGCAAAAAAATAAATACATACCTCTAATGAAGATCATTATGAAAATTAATATTTTGGTCCACAGAAACATTAATCTTTTGACATCTTAAGCCTTCTTTAATATTGATCTCTAAATCACGCTAATTTTTAATATTGATCTCTAAATCACGCTAATCAGAAGTAGTGAAAATGATTATACTGAAATATTTGTTTATAATAAATGAATAGACATAAATTTTTATTCAGATGGTTATGATCTTTTGTATAATCATGATCTTTATGAATAATAATTTATTTATATTCAAATAGTTAGGACCATTTGTCATATGATAATTATTTCTATTAAAAATAATTATTTAAAATACGAATAAAATTAATATAAAAATTAATTTTATTCATCAATAATTAAATCTTTTTATTCAATATGAAATGTACCACATTTTAAACTACCAACAGATTATACCTGAAAAGCAAAAGTATGATTGTTGTGAAGAATTTTGCTGCTATGGTAACAATTTCTTACTTAAAGATTCAAGCAATCATGACAAAAAAATAGCTTGGCCATACAAATTTTCTAGGGGTAATTACTATTTGTCTAGTGTAGACACCGAATTTTGTCCAGGTCTATTAAATTAAATTTTGTTTTCAAGTTCTATTTATTAATATTAAAATTAATAATTAATTAAATATAATAATAACAATTAAAAAAAAGGGAGACAATGGTTCCATGTAACCAATACTTAAAGCCCCTGCACCTTGTGCATATGTCAACCACCTAACCTATTCCATTGGCACCCATACCCCTCATGCCAGTCCTTTAGCACCCCTGATGCCCTGGCACCAGCCATCACCTGCCCCTCGGCCCCATAAAGAGCCCTTACAACACCACACTCATGGGGACATAGGCACCTAATCTCCCTCTCATACCCAAACCTCAAGCACTCAAACATCCCCTAACCCTAAAAACCCTAGGCACCAGTCCTAATACCTCGAGCATCCACCCTCACCAGCATTGTCAGAGTCACAGCCCATACCCACACACCACTAGCCTTGCGCTTAGCCTATACACCCACCGCCCCAGTTCTTATTACCTATCAGGAAACCAAAAAAAAAAACCGAAAAACCAACCTAAAAAATTTAGCCAT